ACATATATATATATACACACGAGTCATTTTTCATTCATTGCGATTGAGTCTGAAGCAGACGCACGCCTGGCATAACGAATTCTGGTGGGCCGCCAGAGATGGCAGTACAATCTGCCAAGCACCCGGCCATGAGGAAGGATTAGGTGGAGGAGATGCAACCGGCCAAGCACACGGCTTGAAAAAACCGTCTACCTCTACACCCTCCGACCTTAAACCGCGAGGGCACCTGCAATTGTGCCTTCTCCCGAATTAGGATCAACCAGCAGCCATTGCTCAGCATCCAAGGACGCACTGACACTAAGGCACAGAGAGCGCTACGAACATCTGCTAGCCCAGAGCATCTTCCTCTAGGGGCAGGGAGAGGCGAACTACCGGGCTACACCCCACATGGCGTGCTTCAAAGGCGCCATGCCCGCTCAGACCATGAGCGTGTGTACAGTGACAGCGTACATACACACACACGCATGTCGAGCAACTCAATCTCACGTTGCACGTTTCACCGCTGTACAAACTTCTCAGGGGGGAATCAGGCAATCAGCTCAGCAGTATTCCCCACTGGTATACTCCTGTTTCGGCCAAAATTTGTGCGAGTCCATCGCCATCAACTTGAAGATCTCCTTGACGATGTCTGCCTTCGTCTTGCCCGCCTCATCTTTCTGGAAGCGGAAAAGCTTCAGGTCCTGGACCTTCTGCTCGTTGGACTCGTAGGCCTCGTAATAAGACTTGATGACCTCTTCCGCGGTCTTCACGAGCGCCTCCGGCGCCCTTCGGACCGGAATCAGGGTCATGAAAGCCAACACTTCGTCTTCTGCGCATAACCCCTTTCCGCAATAAGACTGCTTGCAACAGCTATCAGTTAGATGATCCGGATGCCCTCGCCAAAGAAGCCTTTGTTCTGCTTGGTGACGCGCAGCTGAAAAGCCAGCGTCTTTTTGAAGCCAGCCGCAACCTCTGCTGCGGCGTAGCGTGCGAGCTTGTTCAACATGGCCACATTTCACAACATGTCCTTCGCGCCCATGAAAGCCATCACTTCGGCTGAGGTGCGGTAGATGCCAGCTTTGAGCTTGATGAACCGGATGCCCTCGGACGAGCCTCTGTTCTGTGTTTTCATGCAGCCAGCCGACAGCATATCCTAACGATCCACTGTTCTGCTTGATGGCGTGTGGCTGGAAAGCCAGCGTCTTCTTCAAGCCAGCCGTAGACTCCCTCGCGCCCATGAACGCCATCACGGAGGGCCAAACCTGAATGCCCAGTTTATGCATGGCACGCATGCCATCCTGTGCCGTAGCCGGCAGACGCACCCATGGCGGGTGCTGGGGCGCTTCAATCTTCCGCGCTATGCGGCAATTTGGGCCCTACACACGAGTCAAATATACATGTAACCTTCCCGGTATACCGTCATATTAATTCGGGGCTCAGTGGAGACAGGTAGCCAAATGCAAATAAAAAATACACACAAGAAAAAGGACACCCTAACTTACTTTTTATATGTATATATGCAGCTTGAGCTTTCAATGCAGTGCCGGGCCCGACGGGCATAGGGTCACATAAAGATATAATCCATGAAATGTACACATCGGCATGATGATATATATGGTTGCTAACCGGTTAGTTTAAATTAAAAACACATCGTCGAGCGACTGAGGTGCACAGGCGAAATTCAGCGGATGATGTGCAAAGCCGGGCCGTCTGGAGCTCTAGAGGATCGGTGGTGCACATGCAATTATTTAGCACGGTTCAGACCGCGACTTCAGCAGATTTGGGTTAAGGGCCCAGTTAGGGTGTAACATTAGGGTTTAGGGCTGGGGCTTTACCCGGCTGGGTTACAATAGATGTCTGCCTCTGATGGTGCTCCTGCTCAATTATCTGTATCTTTACTGAGATTGTTGCTTGGCTGCAAAAATACTGTCCGTGGACAAAACCTGTATGAATTTGTGCTTTTCGGGGTGTTTTGTTGTGCTCACGATTGTGCTGTTCGGAGTGCTTTCGTTTGTGCTCATGGTTGTGCTTTGGCGGTGCTTTTTTTGTGCTGATGATTGTGCTTTTCGGGCTGCTTTTTTTCCTGACGTGATTGATATAGCAACATGAATCACGTTTTGCCTTCCAATTCGAGACAAAGTGACCTTGGAGCAAGACTGCAGCGCCACACCTCGCCTGCAGTCGCCGAGGCTGCTTCGGCCTGGCGAAACGCGAAACACTACCATGCAGTGTCCGACCCACTGCCCTCGAACCGTCGAGGGTTGCAACAGCCCAACAGCATGTGCTGCCAGCCTGCCACCTGGGATACGCTCAAGCTTCTGCCCCGGCTTGAAACTCTGTCCTACGAGTCCTGGCTGCCAGGCGAAGAACTGCAAGCAAAATGATTCGCCGAAGCTGGCGTGGCCCGGCGAAGTAATGCCAAGGAATCCCAAGGAACCCAACGAACTCAATGACCCAATGTGTGTGGTGAGCAGCGGTGTGTGTGGTGGGTGTGTTGGTTTGTGGTTGTGGTGGGTTGTGGCGGGTGTGGTGGGTGATGGGTGGTCGGTGGTCGTGGATGCTGGGTGCTGGATCCTGGGTCGTGTGGTTGACTGTTTGGGTGGTGCTGAGGCAGGTGTGAGTTTGATTAGGTTGGCTGGTGCTTATTCTTTGGTGTACGATTGCTCCTAATGCATCTTAATGCCCTTTGTGGACTGTTAGTGTGGCCGGGCTCATCCCAAACTGTAACACAGCTTCCTGTACTGCGTAGATTCCAGATGTTTCTGTTTAACAGGATTTCCGTTCGAGTGCGAACGAGACCTTGACAACGCTCATGCATGACTCCCAAAGCTGCCCCGTGTCCCCATGTGACATGATGTCGGAGGGTGGCTGAATGAAGGGCAGCGCGATGAGGGACCCTCCGTCGCTTTGCAGTCCCGCTCCAACTGCTCCCGGCTGATAGTCGACTTCACCTGTCCACCAAGATGTAAACGAGCACAGCGATGGCTCAAGTGAAGCCAGATTACCTAGGACGTAGTCTGACTCTCCGCACTTCCCCTTGCCTTGGGTGTTGCGGTGGCAGCGTCGAAACCTGTGAGACCGAACCCATCGGAGATCTGAAAAGGGCCTCAGATGGGCCTTCTCCTCGACGGACTACAGGCGTCACAGATCTTCGTGGGCTCACGACACCCACGAAGGACCTCGGAAACAGGCCAACAGGCACCGGGCAGGGCACATTGCACACATCCGTCCTTTGGCTAGTTGATGCTAGTTCCGAGCGTGGTAACATGGTACCAGCCACTGTAAAAATCTCAAGCTTGCGGGGTTCCGAAAACAACCGAAACGAAGACCCGGAAGTGTCAAGGCGACGAGGTGAGGGCTACGATCAGCGCTTCTCTCTGAGGCTTCTGCAGCTTGAGCGCGGCAAAGGCCAGAAGGGCCACACCGAACCTGTCAGAAGGAAAAGGAGCCCAGGCACAGAGCCAGCTCAGGCGCCAGCTGCCGGGCCGCGGGCCGCGCCTGACCGCTCGCAACGGACCTCAGAGTCGACTCAATTCGACGGCACTGTGGCACTGCGGCACATTGCACTGCCACTTCGCATTGCACCCGCTCCCTACGCCGAGCTAGCCTGAGCACTGCGCGCGGATGGACTGCCATCTCGCTTTTAAAGGCTCCTACTCTATCTGCCCACAGCCGCCCCTTATGAGCCCTGAAGCATGCAAGGAATGCAAGGAATGCAAGGATCTGTTGTCTCAAGACTTCCGGCTTGAAGACTCTCAGCGTGCACGGAGCTTTTTCAACACATGCTTCCCGCCCCCGCAGCTCACATCGGCAGCTGGCCTGGCGAAATCGTAGCCGCAGCTGCCCTTCCCTTACTTAGCCCAGCCCAGTCGAGGAGCACTCGTCGTCCAGAAACATCGCGATGGAGTCGCAAGGCATCCGGGTAACCTCTGCGACTGCGACTTGGGGCTGTTGGGGCTGCAGGTCCTGCTTCCACGAGCTTCCTACAATGGCGTGGGCGCCTTTGCTTGGTGCGAGTATGCGTTGCGACGGGCGTGGCCCTCTGAGCGTGGCCCTCTGAGCGTGGCCCTCTCTGCCTCGAGCGGGTCGTCCCGGCGCCGCACGGTCACCGTGTCGTCCTGGAGCAGAGCAGAAGGGCAGCGACTGCCGCGCGCCGCGGCGCCGCACTGCGCTCTCCTCCAAAGTGTCGAAGTCCACGGTGCAGCAGAAGGGCGTCCCAACCTCCAAGGCCAAGGCCAAGGCATCTCTGAGCCGAGCTCCTGAGGCCTCGCCCTCTCTGCCTCGTCCATGCGCCGGTAGCGCTTCCCAATGCTTCCAGCCTCGTGCTGCCGCACAACGGCGCAGACAACAAACGGCGGGCAGTTGCCATCCCTCGAGATCGAGTGCCTCGTCGTAGAGGACGTTCCAGCCGCGCTGCCGGAGCCGTGCTGCCAAAGCCTTGGCCTCCAAAGAAACCGGGCCCTAAGGCCCTAAGTTCCGCCCCGAACTGCCCGAACTTCCCCCCCTTTTTGGTTGTGTCACTTGTGTCCTTCTCGGCCAGCGCGGGGGGCTTCTTCATGAGCGGGAAGACCGCGCAGGTGATGGGCGCCACACAGGGATGGAACCTCAGCGTGCTGCACTTCGCTCTTCCCGTCCTCTCCTTCTGTCCTTCAAGTAGGCCCGTAGGCCGGCTTATGCCGCTGGCCTGAGCAAGGATCGCGATTCTTTATCCACGACATCCTCGTCGTAGGCGCTGCAGAGCAGTGCCAAGAAGAGCCGGTCGACCCCTGGCGAGCTGAAGCCGGCTGAAGCCATGCAGGCATATGAGCCGGCGCCTAAGGACGGCTCGATGACGTGCGGCACGAACTTCCGCTTCTGCCCCGGCACCTCTGCAGGCAGAGGATGGCCCATGGCATCCGGATGGCAGGCAGGGAGCCGCCGTCTCGGCTCGGTTTCGGAATTTCGGAATTTCGGAAAGTCTCATCTCTTTCTTTTCCTTCGGCCGGAGTCCGCGTCAGGCGCCGCTGGCATCGCTCTGCTCCTCCAAAAGGACACTTCAATTATGAGAGAGGCCGAGAGGCCCCTTGTGCTGTTTGCGGAGCAGGCGCCTCGAGGGCTGCCAGGAGGCTCTCCAGCAGCGCGGGCACCTCCAGAACCGCCGTGGGCAAGGCGGCAAGCACGGAGCAGAGCGTGTCTCAGCCGCGGAGACAGACGACGCAGACGGAGGAGACGCAGCCGAGATGATACAAATCGGCGCCCGGCGCCCGGCGCCTCCTTCTTTTCGGGCCGGAGCTTCAGCTGCCGGCTCGCGGCGAAGCTTTTCAGAAAGGCCTCGGTGGAAGAAGCCCCCCCGAAAGGAGCGGACGGAGCTCGTGCTCGCAACGAGGTGCCGGCGACAAGCTCCGAGAAGGCCTCGCCACGCAGAGCGCAGAGCTCAGAGCTCTGCCGAGGAGGGAGCACTCTCTGTGCCCTCTGCGCGCCTTCTGGTCCGCGTCCACCTCAAACAGAGGAGGACGCCTTTTTTGTTGCGACCGGAGTGTGACAAAAACTCTGCCTGCCTGCTGCTTCAGCCTTCGAACCGCCGCAACCAAACTGGGCACAGCTGACACAGAACAGCTGTCGCGAAAGGAAAGGTGCCCTACCCTCACCGACCCTCACCTCGCCTGGTGTCGCCTTTCCGAGCTGAATCAGAAGGAGCATAGCGGCATAGCGATGCATAGCGGAGCAATGCGGAGCAGAGCATGGCCTTCCAGGCCGAGCAGTTCGAACACCTCCGCCGCCACCTGCAGCCGACAAAAAAAGAGAGCAGCTCTTCAGCGCCCAAAGGCGCGCCGCGCCGCGCCCCGGCCTCGTCGCGGCCTTCTTCCGGCGCCAGCTGCCCCAGCTCGGCCTCTGCCGCCGCGCAGCTTGAAATTGACACTCAAAGCATTGCCGCGCAATAGGAAATTGAAGACAAAGAGAAGAAGTTCAACTAGAAGAAGGAAGGGGCGGCCCGCAGGCAAGCGCGCCTCCAGCCAAGTCTCCAGCTGGTCCTGGGGATTTTTGGGATCTGTTTCGGGGGTCGCAGCGCGGCGGCTTGCTCAGCTGGGTCGCAGGTCGCCTTGAAGCGCTCCACCCGCTCCCAGAGGCTTCGGCAGAGCGCCAACGAGGGTCCGCGCAGCTCCGCCGACGAGCCGCCCGTCCTGGCACGCCTGCGGGTACAGAACACGACCCCGAGCAGAGCATGGCAGAGCGGCGCGCTGCTCTCTGCACCTGGAGCTCGAGGCTTCGACTTCCGCCGAGTCGCCTCTGCAGTCATGCCGATCCCCCCTCGAAAAAAGCCGCCTCGGCCTCGGCCTCGGCCTCGGCCGCCTTCCGCCTCCCCCAAACGCCGCTTCAGGCTGATCACGATGGGCCTCAGATCAGATCAGAAAACCGCAGCGCAGAAGCGCCCGCCGCCCCGCGACGAGGCCAGAGCTTCGCCATCGCTGCGCGAGACTTTTTGTTGGGCCCCCCAGGCCCCACCTCCCCTCCCTCCCCTCCCTCCCGTCCCTCCCGTCCTTTCTTTGAGCCGAGAAGCGGACGGACGCGTTTTCACGGCAGAATTCGCTTCGCCGCTTCGCGCAGCCGCGCAGCTGCGGCCTGGTACTCCATGGCCTGGCCGCTGGCCTTGGCGTGCTGCTGCAGGTCGTACCTGCGTCAAGAAGTGGAGCCCTGTCCCTCCGCGCTGAATCTCGACCGTGCGTCCCAATCACCCAGAAAGACGGAAGTGAAGCAGCGATGCAAAACAGACGCTCCAGGAGCACTCGCCGCGAGCAGCAACGCCCAAGAGCTCTTGGGTGCCGAATGGATACCTCGAGCGAACGATCACCCTTACACCCTTCGTCAAACGCACGGAGGGAACTTGCAGATCTTTGCAGCAAGTCCAATGGCAGCGGGAAAGGTTTTCAATTGTCCCGTGAAGAGAGACCCCACTTCGTGCGCTTTCATAGCACGCGGGCACCGGAAGACGATGTCCGTGCAGGCCCTCGCGTAGTGCGCCAGCTTTGCTCCCTCGTGCACCTCGCCGTGCCATGCTGTGCCCCGCAGCCGGAATGCACGATGCCCGCCCCTTCTCCCCCTCCCCTCCTCCCGGTCCATCAGGGACTCCTTGAGGCCCACGGCCTGAGAGAGAGAGAGAGAGAGAAGCGCGGCCCTTGCATGCCCTTGCCCTGTAGTCCTTCAGGAAGTTCCACATCTCCTGGATCCATTCTTCCTGGATCTGCCGGAAGTCCGCCTCGGAAAGGAGCCCTCGCCGGTTGTGAAGGCTCTCTCTTTCGTCTCCTCGGGATCGATGAAGTACTCGATCTCCATCTGCTCAAACTCCCGTGACCGGAAGAGGAACTGCCTGAGAGGCCGAGAGGCCGGGCGCATGGCCGCGGCCCAGGGTGCAAGATCCTTCGCGGACCTTGGAGTGATCTCGTTGCGGAAAGCCTTGCCGATCTGAGCGATGCCGAAGGGAACCTTCTGGCGCATCACGTAGGTCACCTTGACAAGCCGGGAAAGGCCACTTTGGGCCGCCCGGGGACGCCCCGTCTGCGTTTCTGCGCCTGCTTGTAGTTCACGAAGATGCCCTCTCAGGACTCTCTCTGAACTTTGACCCTCGGCCGGAAAGGCCCTCCGCGGCCCGCCTGCGCCGTCTCTGGCCTCAAGTAGCCTCGAAGCGAAGCGAGCGAAGGAGAGCGAAGGAGAGCGAAGCGGCTACGCAAGAAACACGGGTACTAAGCCAAACCTAGTTCGTACGTTTCGCTTGGTGCCTAAGGATTCCTCAAGAGCACGGAAGGCATGTTTTCGGGCGGGTGTACCTACTTACAGTCCGCTATGGACATATGTGTAGGTCTGTAGGGTGGGTTCGGGAAAATGCGTTGCAAAGCTGGTCCAAAGTTCCTGACATGAGTAGATGGAACGTTATGGAGACGCAAAGAGGCACTTGCCTGTGTGAGCCCTGGGTTCGCCCCCTCCTCTCTTCGTCTCTTCTTCTCGTCTTCGCTGCACTCCACTCTGCTGGGGCACCCGGCTTTTGGAGGCGGCGTCGGCGTAGGGGCCCACTTGGGTCTCGAACATCAAGTTGAAGGCCCGGGCGGGCGTCAAGCTCCCAGGCTTCCCCGTGCCCGGCGACGGAATCAGCTCCACCTCCCGTGTCCACACCACCGAACATCGCAGCCCGCTGCTCTGCGCTGCTGCGCTGCTCCCGCTCCCTGTGCTGAGCCTCCTCGTCGCTGGCCTCGGTCATGTCCTGAGAAGCGCAACCCTCGCTGGGCCGCCGCCTCCTTTCCGTTCGACACCCCCCGGCCTTGATCAGCATCGGCTTTAGCTCTCCATTTCGGCCGGCCTTTTTCGACACAGTGCGAAGGAAAATATCCGCCCCGCGTCGTTTCGCTCTTTCTCCGAAGACTCATCGGTCCTTGAGCATCTTTCGGCTCATCACCGAGGGTGAAACGCGACGGGGGAGGCTGCAATGAGGCTGCCTCATGGCTGAGCTAAGCGCAGCCTTCTCAAAATATTGAAACGTGATGGAACCTCGAATTGAGGAGCCCGGTTTCTGTGCCCCGGAGACCAAGGTCCCGCGGGCCCAGCACTTAAATTTAAATCCATTACTCGAACCTACAATCAGACAAAAACCCTGCTCGCCCTGCTCA